CAGTGAGTTTGACAGCATCATTTGGTGTTGTCAAGGCAGCGTTCGGCGCTGCAGCGCCAGTCCAAGAAGGCAGGTGCTCTGCAGCGCCTATTTTGGGCCCTGCAACGCTCGACCAATGCTACAGGCGCGCTGCAGCGCCTGTTTGAGGCGTTGCAGCGCCTACATTGCACCCTGAATGGCTGCTCCCTTTTCCAAAACTCCGCTGCAGTGGAAAACTTTGTGCTGCAGTGCCATTGTGCAGGCCTCTCGGGTCATTTTTGTGCTGCCCGAGCATTATAGCGGGAAAACATCCGCTGCGGCGGATATTACTGCAGAAAACTGTTTTCGTGTGTTTATGTGATCTGAAAGGTCTTAAACCATTGCATCCATTGGTGATATATTTTCACACATATCTGAACACTTATTATCAATAAATATAACCATTGTAATAGGTGTATCAATCTATAAAAAGATACCTTTACATTGAAGAGGTATCTTTATGTGAAAGGTTGTAATGTTTAAAGGGGATGCATTCATTCAATGAAATGACACCTCTGTCTTTATTAATTCTCCAGAAAATTCACAGACTTAATTCATATTCTGGAACTCAATATTATTGTTAGATATTTTGTTCAAGGGTTTGTTGTATCTTGGGAGTAATTTGTCATTAAAACTCATTAGCAAACTTTGAGAAGTGAGGACAAATAAAATCTTAAAGGAAAGTATTTCTATACGCCTCAAACCCTCTCTTGTTTCTGGATTCTTTTCATCTTCTACTCTCAAATTCTCCAACATGAACAACACTATCGAGTTTTGGCAAAAAAAGATCTGTCATTGTTCAACGTTCCCCAAACTAGGACGAGAGTTCATTTTTGCAAAAGGGTTTGAGGAGTGATTACAAAATCATGTTTTCTTTTATGTCAAAACACAATAACTAAACATTTTTCTTCACATGTTTTGGCTTTCTCTCATTCTAGAGCCATAAATTTGGCTTTTAACCAGAACCAAATAGCCCTTAGTTTCTCAAGAATTTTTTTTTGATATAGTACAAAAACATATCTTATCTTCAATAGGGCATTGTTTTATACCGTCATAATTTTTGGCTTTTAACCAGAACCAAATAGCCCTTAGTTTCTCAAGAATTTTTTTTGATATAGTACAAAAACATATCTTATCTTCAATAGGGCATTGTTTTATACCGTCATAATTTATCAGCTTTTGCCACTATTACATGCACAAAAACACTCAGTAGCATAGAAAAACCCCTCATCTTTGTTGCCCTTTTTATATGATGGTTTGACGTCATACTTTCTATGGTACTGCGGAAGAGATGACTTCGCCTTCTTGAATTCTTATCACTATTTATTATTTCTTTCTTGCTTCTGTGGGGTTTGGTCAAGCTAGATAGCAGTCTTTTTCATCTGTTTTTTTGGCAAAAGAAGCGTGCCGCATGACAATTGAATGCTAGAGAATTCAACTTTTATTTGAACTACTTAAATAAAGGCCAATTTATTTTGCTCTTTTTGGGCGCAATACCTAATTCATTGATAACCTCAATTATTTAACCAAAACTTAGGGCTCAAGAAAATACCTCATATACCACTATAATGTATACATTATAATAAAATAAATAAATAAAGTTACCAGATTCCAAATGTAAGATGAGGTTTTCATGTTATCTACTCAAATGGTATTTTTTTTTGTCAAATATAGTAGATGGATGTGCCAGAAACTTTGGCGTTTTCACTTTGTTTTCCGGGAAAGAAAAAGATTTTTGATTTCCAAAAGCATCCAAATTTCCCACATCCACTTTTGTGAATTGCAATTTTCAACCGTGTCCCGTGATATTATTTGACAATTCTGTGATCAGATAAAAAAAAAAAAAAAAATTGCCCTGATGGTAATTTACTGTTTTGAACGGCAAACTTCCAACAAAGTCATAGCACAATAAGAAAAATATGTAAAACTTAATCAATTTCAATAAAATTTTGACGGTCTAAAACGACGTACAAAAATTATTTAATAAAAAATATTTTCTCTGGTGTTTCTTTTTTTTTTTAAAATATTGATGTTTTCTAATTATCAGGATTTATATTAAATATGATCAGAAGTTAAATTAAATTAAAAAAAATAATATAAATTTAATGATTAATAAGCAGAAAACACCAATATTTTTTAATAAATAAACACCAGAGAAATTCTCAATAAATAAAGAAGAATTTAATTCAGCATAAATCTTTAGAAAGTTTAGGGGAGGCTTCACGAGAGGGAATAAAATTTACGTCATTCTTGAAAACACTTCTCTTATTTTGACACCTTATTACATCAGTTAAAAAAGGGGTAATCCGAAAAGAGCGGTACGAAACTAAAGAAATGAATTAAAATAAACTGATTTCTTTTTTTTTTTTCCTTTACTTTGGTTTTTTTATTTATTTGTTGTCCACCTTTTGTTGACTATCCACGTGGCATTGACTATTTATAATTTCGTTTACTTAACCGATTTGAATTTAAAATTTGAGTTTTATTACAGTAAAAGATTCTAAAAAATAATCACATTTAATTTTTTTTACTACAATAAAAAATTCTCACATAAAATCACATCTTAATTCAAATTATAAACTCGAATCAGTGAAATAAACGGGCCCTACAGAAGCCCTTTGATAACGAACTTTTGTTGACCATCGACGTGCCATTGACCGATTAACCAACTGGGCCGTGGTTGGCACACGTTTTGGGCATTTACTGTTTCTCTCTGTTCTCACTTTTTATGAAACAATTAAAAAAATAGTTAATTTCAGTTAATTACATATATCTCCATTCAAAATGAACAATATTTACACATAAACCTGTAAAATTACTAGTAATGATATTTTTATCATTAATTAATTACTTTTTAAAATCAGTTATACAAATTTATAACCACTTAGATAAAAATATACATATTTAGAGTTATATTATATCAGTAACTATAAAATAGACATAGTTAAAGACATATTATAAAAATAGAGTGCAACAATAATTACTTCCTTCGTGTAAATACTTCTTTTAAGAAAACACGTTTTTGAAAAAATTTCCAAATAAAGAATAATTTGTATGTATGATTAGTTCATAAAACCATTCTTATCCACTGACCCTCGATTCCACGTAAGCTTAAATATGATCAATACATTAAACAACAAATAAATATCTTTTTCCTTAAACAGCATGCATGCCACCTGTTAGGATTTTAGTTGATAATTTTTGACAACGTTTTTTAAGAAAAATTCAAAAAAAATTGCAAACACGGATCTAAAAAATCTCCCAAACTAAATAAAATACTTATTTTAGTGATATAAATTATATTAAATTTTTTTACAACAGATAATACACATACATATTAAAGAAATAAACGAAATTTTTTATAGCTATTTACTGCCTACCCTAATCCATCCACCGACCAATCAGCTGATCATTTCTTTATTCATATTTACCCACTTACCAAGGTTGGAACGTGATATCTGAATTATATTCTTAGGGAAAAGAAAAAAAAGTGATATCCTGAATTATTTAACATTTTAAAATATAGAATTTAAAATTCTATTGCAGAGTACGAAAAGAGACGAGAAAATGAGTGAATTTACTTTTAAGGGTCTATATTTTTATTTTTTTATTTTTAATTAATATTCTTTTAATTAATAAGATTATTTGATTAAAAAATATTAATTAAAAGTAAAGAATACAAATTCATATTCACACTAAAAATTGAAAAAATATTAGATACTTTATCAAATAGTCATATTTTAATCAAATTTTTATGTTTTTCTGTATTGTTTTAACGTTCAAAAATATATAGACCTCATAAGTAATTTTATTCAGAATTGAAAGTCTTTATGGGCAATGCCGTAAGATAAAAAAGCCACTTGAAGCTAATTATCCTTATCGAATTTTAGTGATTTGAATTTAATTAATATGAAAAAAAGACTATAATAATATGACTTAAGTCATAATTTAAATTATGCAAATGAACACACGTTGGGTGCGTTTAAAATTAGTTTCAAAATAATTTTATTTTCAATAAAAATTAAAAATGAGAATGTTTTAATAATCATTTTGGGATCGATTCTGAAATTACGTTTAGTTAGTTTTTTAAGAAATTGTTTTGAGTATAATAAAAAAGTGAAATCGTATTTATTAATTAATATATTATAATATTATTAATAAGTATTAAAAATTAAAAATAAAAAAATAAAATTTTTTTTTAACTATTTTCTAATTTTTTTTACAAAATTATTCTCACTATTTTCATTTTTAAAATATTTATTGAATAAATGTCATTGCATTTTTATTTTTATTTTTTATTTTTATTTTTTATTTTTTAAAATACGTAAAAACCGTTTTAAAAACGGTTCCGCACATTATTTCTTAAATGTAACGAGACCCAAAAGGTATTATATTTATATATAATATTTAAGTAACGTAAAAAAGTAACAACGAGAAAAGAGTAAAGAAGTGAAAGTACTGAAGGGCAAGTAGGTAACTTCACACGTAAAACAAGTTTCTTGGGATTGGGGTAACCGCCAACAGAAATGTAATTAGAGCGCAATAAAGCCCGGCCCAGGTCGAAGCTGTTCTCTCAAAACGACTGGCTCTTGAAAAACAATTTGCGCCTTCACCGCCATTTGGAAACATGACGAAGAAGGCGGTTCCGTTATTCATTTTGTTTCACTAACTAACCGCTTTTCTTCTTCTTCTTCTTATAAATTTTTTCATACAAAAATTTCATATTACATAAATATAAATCTCTTCTTCAAATTACACACAGAAACAAAACAAATCTTCAACACTTTTATATTAATACCAATATTCCTTCCCATTCATCTTGTCACAGATTCTTCAAACCTTGCTTTTCTTTTTTCTTTTGTTCAGAAAATTTTCTTATAATCTGATTTCTTCGTTAGACTCTCTTCAGAAACCTCTCTTCTAAATCATAGACATAAAATGTATACTTTGGTTTCTGTGATTGTTTGATTTTTCGTAAAATTCATTCTTGAATTCTTTCTTTTTGTTGTTGTTGTTTTTTTTTTTTTTCCTTAGTTTTTGGTTTAGGATTCAGGCTAGTTTTTTTCTTTGTTTTTTTTTCTCTTACATCACCTTCAAGAATCCAAAAATGGAGTTTCAGTATGACCCATCATCATCTTCTGGTGGTGACAACAACTCATTGGAACTTCACAAGCTCACCGGCGATTCGTCGCAAGACGATGTCTCGTCGGTCTCCGACTGCGAGAGCGGAATCACCGGCGTGCGAACCGACGAGTCCTTCTCCTTCGGCGGCGCTCTGGTCCGGCTCTTCGAAGGAGACAGAGTCCACGACCTGATCAAGGAACGGTTCGTGTTGAGTTTGGGCTCGGCGATCGGACCGAAGACGACGGTGGTAGGGATTCACAGGAACCCTCACTCGAGCATCGTCGGCCAAGCTCGGTTCCATTGTTTCCAGATATTCGCGAAGGCGATCGAGAGGAAGCGCGGAGGCAACGCCAACGTCAGGTACGCCTGGTACGCCCCTTCTTCGGCCGACGAAGTTTCGCGAATCGTCTCCCATGGCTTCGCTGATCAATTTGGGAAGTACCGGAACAACAACAACAACAACAACGAACTGTACGGACACGGTATCTACCTCGCTCCTGATGATTCCGCCATTGATTGGTGAGCAAGTTTCTTCTCTCTTCTGAATAACTAACTTGTGCATGAATTTTGTGTGTGAATAGTTTACGCAGCTTTTTTTTCTTTCTTTTTTGTTTGTTTGTTTTTGACTTTGAATTTTTCTTCTCTAATCAATTATAATTATTATTTATTTACGAAATAATAATTAACCTCTCCAGTATTTTATGGAAATATCTCAGTTCCATGCTAATTACGTTTCATATCAAAACTTCCTTTTTGAGAGTACAATTTGTAAAATATATATGAAAAAATATCTAATATTCCTGAAAATATAAGGCGGCAGTAATATTTTCATAAAATACCAATTTTCGCTAATAACTTTTTAATTATTAGTTTCTGACTTTATATAAATTTATATATAGCGCGTGGAAGCCAAAAGGACCGTCAATATTTCGTTGACGAATTGTTTGTTTATCATATATTTGTCTACAGTTTGGGAGATGGGTCGTTTATTGAAGAGGACGGCATACGACATCTTGTTTTGTGTCGTGTGATAATGGGGAAGGCAGAGATTGTGCGCTCTGGGTCTGAGCAGTACCATCCGAGTTCTGACGAATTTGACTCGGGCGTTGACAACCTTACAAAACCCAGAAAATATATTGTCTGGAGTACCCACATGAACACTTGTATCTTGCCTGAGTACGTCGTTAGTTTCAGAGCTCCCACTTTCTTGAAAGGTAAACAAATTTCAAATTTGGCCCCTGCGTTGTGTTCATAATATTTGCAATTTTGAAATGCTTAATTTCACTGGTGTAATTATCGTTACTAGTTTTTGTTTTTGATACAGAGCTGATATGTAAAATAAATCGTGCCCGAGCACGGACAGATCCATAAAATTAAATGAGCAGCGGGGGACATGTAATTTTAGATTTTAATAGAAGACAAACATATGTATTTCTATTTTTAAAAGGGGTAAACTACAAATTTTAACAAAATACACAATCAAAATTAAAAGAAATAAAAATTCAGGTCGGGCAGTCGCCTCCTACTTTTATAAGAAGGGTGTAGCCGCTCGATTACCCGACCAGTAAAACATTAGTGATCACGATTTCTAATGATAATACGATTTAGACTTTATTAGACGTGAGGGTGTGGATTTTTTGTTTCCTGATTTTGATAATTGATTTGGTTTTGTTTCGTTTTTGTAGCTTCTGCAAGGATTGAAGAGCCGATTAGGAGACCTACATCGCCTTGGATGCCGTTTCCGGCACTGATTTCAGCGCTTTCCAAGTTCCTGCCTCCACCAACCGTTGCCTTGATCTCCAAGTATCATAAAGATCACAAAGCAAGTATTTTTGGCTTTTTTGGCTCTTATTGTTAATAAAAAAAAATTCACTCTTTGGTTTTCATCCAGTCGTTTTCGCTATGATGGTTTCTCTGTGGTCTCATATGCTTGACTTTATACCATCTTTTTTCAGGAAAAGAAGGTGGCACGGCAAGAACTGATACAACGAGTGAGGCAAATAGCAGGGGACGATATATTGATTTCAGTCATCAAAGATTTCCGGGCTAAGGTAAGAAGTTAGTGCCTTTGTGCCATTTTTCGAATTTGGCATATGTTAAAACGTTGTTTTTAATTCAAGTACATGCTCGCATGTCTAAAATAATTTGGTGGCCGTGTCCAAAAGTTGGATTTTAATTCATTACATGATGGTTTTAAATTCATTACATCTGAAATTTTTATGCTTTTGTTCTGCTCTAAATATCTAATTTTTACCGATGTTGTCGTTTACAACCATGAGTTTTTAGTTGATTTTGATCATGATGGTTTTAAATTCATTACATCTGAAATTTTTATGCTTTTGTTCTGTTCTAAATATCTAATTTTTACCGATGTTGTCGTTTACAACCATGAGTTTTTAGTTGATTTTGACGTTTTACTGATGTTGCTTATGGAATTTGCTTAAACAAGACATATGCTATGTCAGCGATTTTGGCTCTTTGGTAATTGTCAAAAGTTGTGTGCTTAGTCATCAAGGCATAGAATTTTACTTCATCACCAAGCCTCTTCAAGCACATATGTGAGCATTAGTGAATCACTATGATAGGTGTTCTTATTCAGCTACATGGTATCAGTGGAATAAAAACGTGAATCTGACTAAGGAACAATCATGGGTGAAAGACCAAAGTTTTCGGCCCACTTGATTGTATCCTATCCTCCTCTCCTTTATTCCGGACTTTTACATATATGCCTTTTCACAAGTAGAAGTCCACTACTGCTTTGTTCAGGAGGAAAGGGAAAAAAAAAAAAAAAAGAGAAAAATATACTTTGTGCCTTTCTGGGTGTTAAAGTCGTTCTCTTTAATAATGGAACCATACTTTAGAACCTTCTTTTTTCTTTCTTTTTTTTTGTCTTTCTGTGATAGGACTCCCTACTAGTAGTGCTTATTTTTAACTGTTATCTTTTCAAAATCATATCAAAATAAAAAAATGTAAATCAAAGATTTACTTTTACTACTTGTAGTTCATTTGTTCAGAACCTTAGAAATCTCTCTTTTTTTTTCTTTTTTTTTTTAACCTAGCACTTTCGAATCATTTGTTTCTGTAGATATAGGTAAAATTTGTTGGTGATGACCTGACATTGTATGTTCTATTTCTGCACAGAAAAGGGTGGCTGAAAACTGATCTGGAGAACTGTTTGGGCATATTCAGAGTAAGAGGGTTTGTAGATAAAGCAATTTTTGGACGAGACAAAATGGACAGTTGGTGGTATGTGAGAAAGATGAGACAAAAAGAGGACATATTCTAACAAGCAATGAGAGAGATTCAGTTCAATCAGATACTCTGCTTAAGAACCAAGCTTGGATTACTCTCTAGTTGTTGGCATCTTAGTGGGTTGTAGTGGTAGAGGTGTTTACTTACCTAATGTAAGCTGCAATTGTTTTTCCTCCGCACTTTCTACGATATAAAAGTGGGAATTACATATCATGGACATTTGTTGGTTCTCTAGTTGGGATAATATTCTCTATTATTTTGCTCTGATTCTTTGATTTCATTTGATAACCAAACCATGCCTCAAAGAGGCTTGATGAACAATATTTTTTGTCCTGCCGTTTGTTATTCTTCTCTGTGTGCGCTCTTTCAACTTAGGAAAATGTGTTTGTATACTTGGTTTTAGTGTTTCGATGAAACTAAATCGCCAATGTGTCTTAGGTGGGTTGGTTGTGCGCTCATTCGCATTGTAAGAAGTTTTTGTTTGAGTCGCCCTCATCGTGTTGGTCCGATTGTCTTCGGGTTATCGGTAAGTTGGTCCGATTGTCTTCGGGTTACCGGTAAATTGTAAAGTGGTTTGAGGTTATTTAGGAACTTTAACTTCTTCTCCTGTAACTTTTTAAACTTCATAAAAAATCAGTATAGTAAAAGAATACAATCGGGGTTAAGCTTTGCAATATTATAGGCGTAAGCCAAGCTCAATTCTGTTCTCATTGCAAACTTTTCACCTTCATGCACAAAACTGTAATATTAAGATTTAAGAATGAAGAGGAAATTAAAACTTCAACATATTGATGTAGGGAGATTACTGCTGATATCAAAGTACATTCCTACACAGCAGAACTGTTTTGCAATATGGCAATCTTGTATTTGATATTTTCCAATGGAAACTCTATGAATTGCTCTATTGATGATGCAACTTTTAATGAGATTGCATTTCATATTCATGACTACATGTGTGAAAAGTGAATGGATGATGAACTAATTGTAGTACTAGCCATCATTAGAGTTGATATTTTTCAAACATTTGACACTGCTTGTTTGGATTTTTTCTCTAGGAGAAAAGTAGTGAAGAAGATTTTTGTTTTGCTAAAACAGTTACTGAAGCATGTTAATAACTGGAATGTGAAAGTCATCTTAGAATAAACACTCCCGCTCCTGAAATCGGATCATTTTGGCTGCATGCACATACTTCCAACAACTAGAAAAGTAAACTGCCAATCTGCCATGTCTCTAAAGTGATTTTCTCCCTAATCTTTTTTAGATGGAATTTCAAAAATGAAATAAATTAGTGAAGACTAGTAAAATCACCATAAGCAACTGGGAGAAATTCAGAAATACCATTTAAAAAATGATACCATTTTTATGTTTATGCCACTTAGTGGTATAAATTTAAGATTTATGTTGATTGATTCACTTGAAAATATCTAATTTATGAATAATGCTAGGGACAGTGGGACACAAACTCACATTTCAATTTTTATGTACTAATTAATGTGACATGTGAGTTGTTATTTTCTATTAATGGGTGTTTAAAATATTATTACATTAATTAATAATAAGAGATTGCATCTAATAAAAAAATGACAATTTATTTATGTTCAATAGAATAAATGTAATGTAAAGTTCTTAAATTTCAGTTACATTCTATGTAATTTCCTCTAAACGAAAGAGCTTGTCCCCTTCTCGGGACGAACATGCATTCAAAAACACATGCCTTCTAGATATTATATCGTCAAGTTAAACAAAATTTCTAGAAGAAGAAGAAGAAGAAGAAAAATTCTATGGATGGTCCACAGTTTTGGATTTTTTTCATAAATCACTATTAAGGTTTTTGACAAAATTCTTGATGTAATTATGTGGGCCTCTAGCTGCTCCAAGACCACCAAAAATGCACAAATTGTAGACAAGAGGATGTCATTCAATGACATGACATCATTGTCTCCATGTTCCTTTCGTTGATATTTCCAAAAAAAATACACCATCATATTCATACATATCTTCTTTGTTCAAGGTACAATAATACTACACAGTAACGCATAATTCCATTATCGCATTCAATCTCGCCGTTTCAGCGGTCAGTAGTACTAATGATCACCGTCGATTTCTCATACATCTCATTCTCATCCATCAATTTCAAGTCTCCCTACAGTGTGAAAGTGCAGTGTTTTTTAAAATGTTAGATTATGATAAATAAAAAATAAAAAATAGGAAAAGAAATTTAACTTACTTTCTTTTTAAGGGAAATTGGAATTTTATTAATTACTTAACAAATCATTTTGAACAAAATGACTAATAAAAAGTGGTATAAAGACTAACCAAACCATACCAATAACCCGTTTATTTCACCGATTCGAGTTTAGAATTTGAATTTTACTACAGTAAAAAGCTTTCAGAAACAATCACATTTAACTTTTTTACTACAGTAAAAAGCTCTCATATTAAATCGCATTTCAACTCGAATTAAAAACTCAAATCAGCGAACTAAACGGACCCTAAATATAAAAATTATACGAGCATGACTAGTTAAGGCTACACAATTCTCATTAAGGGACGTGTAACCATGCGAGCCTCTCCGAATTTGCACAAAGACATCTGAGATATCTTCTAGAACACTTGCTTTTGGGGATTGAGAAGGAAGAATCGCGATCATAAGAACGGCATTGATAGCATCTGACTCTCATCGTCCGAAAATCCTCGCGTGGCCTATCTAGTATTTGGCAATATGGAGGTTGAAATGCTGAATAATCATAGGTCCTGTTCATTTCATTGATTCGAGTTTAGAATTCAAGTTTTGTTACAGTAAAAATCTCTCAGAAACAGTCACGTCTAAAAAATTCTCACATAAAATTATATTTTAACTCGAATTAAAAACTCGAATCTGTCCTTAATTGTGCTATTGTCATGTCTGCTTTCATAACTCCATAACAATTGTGGGTCAGAGGCGGGAAATTGCATTGATTTATTAGTCATTTAACGCATGATAAATGGCTTAGACGGTACCTGCCAACACATTACTTAAGCAGGGAAAAACAAATACAACTTCAGAAAATGGATATGTTGTGTAAGAAACGTGCTTGAATGATTGACTAGGAGCCCAAAGTCCAAAATTTTCGGTTTCAAAGATTACTTGGACGTGGAGTATAATGAACATACAGATTATTTTGATTGCTATAAAGATGTTCCTTTGCTTGTTCTCAAAGGGTAATATTATGGGTGTGGCAGACTGGCAGTTAACCAAACCAAAAAAAAAAAAAAAAAGATTGAATGATCATTAGTAATTAGTAACAATTTTGTTTATTAGTTTTTCCCCTTCAAACGTGCTTTACATTACTTGCAAATGTAATTGTGTCTCACATCAATATTTGTACAAACAAGGCTATAATTCTAGTGAGTGAGAAAGGCACCAAATGATGAAAATTCATTTCCAAGACGTGCTTATTGTGCTATAATAACCCTACGCGTACGTTTTGCTTCAAACCTAGCTAGGAAAGTGCAATTTCATTTGCAAATTATGTATTCTAGCAAACTTTTTTTATTTTCTATTTTTGCTGAAATAACAAAATTTTCGTATGCAAAAATAACCTTTTAATATTATAAGCAGCTAGCATTTTGAAAAAATAAAAAAATTAATGTAGCGTATGAATTATGCTTTTTGTTTTTTTTTTTGTATTTTGCTTTTTTTCTTTTTTTTTTTTTGTTTTTTTTTTTTTTGTTTTAAGGATTCTCACTTGATTTAACTGGTTGGTACAAATTACAGCCTGTCTGATCATTGCTAAATGGCAGGTAAATCAAGAGAGACTTCAAAAGTCCATATTCTATTTTACCCATTAAATGATGTTTACAAGAAAAATAGTGTTGCTTTATTAAAATCTTTGTCTCATTTCTTTTTTTTTCCTAATGATAAAACATATTATCTAAATCAAGGCTTTTCTATCAACATCAATGTTTCCTTTAGCAAGTGCAAACTCCCATGGTTTAATGACCTTTCTTCCGCATCTTGGAAAAATCTCAAATTCTAGTTGGTCAATCCATCTAAAAAGTTTAAGTTGATAGAACTTGAGAGATGGATTAATAATAATTTTATATTTTAACACTCTTTTTCAGGTGTGAGTTGAACAGTGTGAGTAAATTAATTAGAAAGCTCGATACGTGAATATTTAAGTTTAAGATATATTAAATACTCAACACGTGATAACAATTTAGCTCGAGATAAAGAGTACAATTACGGAGGGTTTAATATCAGAATCTCCAGCTTTAATACTATGTTAATTTACCAATTTATTTTAAAAATTTAAACTATTAAGAGGTGAACCAATAATAATTTTATACCTTAACAAGAAGTGCTACAACATTTCTTTACGATGTAATTTGGCCGAGATTTCTAGAAGTGGTACAATTTTTAGTTTCCTTTTTTCTCTTGTCAATTTTTCTAGAATTAAGTACAACTTGGAGTACAAGATAAATATATGGCTGATTTATTATTTTAAATGATGCGGATAAGATAAAAGCATCAATACCTTTTTTTTTTTTTTTTTGGTGTGTGCATAACCGCATCAATACATTAATAATAAACTAATAGATACAACAATTCCGATAAGACCAATTTCTAATCAATTAAAAAAAAATGTGACTTTCCATTTGGAACATATTTGATCCAGAAGTTGTCATAATGATTGGGATGTAATATTTTTTCCTATAAAAAGTAATTAGAATATTAGATACACATGAATTTAGTGTCTCTAATAATACTATATAGAATAGCATGTAACTATCGTAACAACCTGTCGCACTTTGATGTTTTCCTTTCCACTTTAAATTAATGTTCACTTATTATATCTTAGTACCATGGTTTGAAAAATCTCTTTGAAATTACGATCTCAAAAGAGTGGTATATTATATTTTTGCGGAATGTTAGGGAAGTTTTGAAATTTTCATAAATATTATATCCTGCGAAAATAATTTACAATTTTAGTGAAAAGCGTAGTGCGGGTGGCAAATGTTTTTGCAGAAATTTCATGAAAATATCAGCAACAATCCAAAAGAACTTCTCATACTCTACTTTTTTTTGCTAATCTTTTCATACTCTATACTTATTACTATATTTTAGTATGGTCAAAACCATGGGTTTTTTTTTTTTTTTTTGAAATGGAAAAACCATGTGTATTTATTTTTACAATAATTTTCTGTATTTTCACGTGACATAAGATGATAAGACAATATTATTCTGAATATTTTAATAATACGGGGCTTCCTTCCTAGGAGGTTTGAAGATATTGATCACTCAAACCTTCTAAAACTTACTTTGATATCAATATTTTATCATTTTATATGAAACTATGAGCGAAACCTACCTGCATTAGGTTGAATGTCACATATACATATTATGTTTCAAATATTTTATTTAACTTGTAAATTTATATTTATCATTTATTGAAAAATGAGCATCATATTTATCATGCTTAGTATTTCGATGGATAATTCCATGTAATTTATGTATTATTAATTACTTGAGATCATTTCCGAAAGCTTCATTTAGAAATTTTTGTATGTTAATTAGATATCTATAAGTTTCAAAAATTTTATGTCAATTTTTACCAATATAGTTATTTCCATCGATCGATATATATTGTCATAAAATAAGAAATCATATCGTTTCTACTTAGTGATTGCTACGTATATTACTCAATGTTCAACACAAAATGATACATATAAGGGCTTGGTGTGATTTAAGGGGTTTTTTCTTTTTTCTTTCCTTTTTTTTTTTAATTTAGGAAGTGAGATTTGAACTCTACCTTTAAGATAAAGACAAGTATGAAATTGCCACTAAATTATATCTATAACCACGTGATTCAATTGTTACCTTAATGTCCACATAAATTGTTACAATATCTCTTTCTTTTGCTGACAAATTTAAACGTGAATATGGGTATTTGATGAAGAGGAAAAAAAAACCACATATTAACTTATTCTTTTAAGATTTCTATTAATCAATTTGCTCATAATCCCCTCCCCTCACTGCACAAGAAGTTGTTCAACAATAATAATATTATTTATCTTCCATAAATAGCATTTTAAAAACTAACTCCTAATTTAAAGCAAAAAGACATGTAGCGACGAGTATAGTTGCCAAATAGCTCAACTTGTAGCAACAATTATTGTCGTAGTTCTCACAAACTGATTCACCACTATTTCATTAATGCAGTCTTTAGCGACGACATGATCTAATTATGTGTTTTTAAAGGGCATGTTAAGCAAACGACATAACAAGTTGCAGTCATTTTATTTCCAACGCCCTTTAAAGGAAGTTGGCGACACGTGTAAAGATACTCCCCCACACGTGTCAAATAGTAGTGTCGTGAATCCTCTCCTCCCCAAAAAGTTGGTAGAGCCACCGTCCTTCGCGGCCGCACCTCCTTTACACCTAAAAGTTTGTCCATAAATAACTTCAAATACCAACCAAGTCAATTACCTTAATGCCCTCACCTTCTAGAAATATCCTCACAAACTCCTTGGTATCTAAACTTGCCATGTTTTGGACAAGATCGACAACTTAATTAGATTTGGCCTCAATAAAAAGGGAATTATTGGTGTTATTCTGCCCCTCATTTCATTTATTACTTTAAAAATCCTAAGGTGCACTAATGGAATAAAAAAGACGGAAAAGAACTAAAAATACCGTTCAAAGTGGTAAAAATATATTATTTATGTAACTTTACTTAAAAATAAATAATTATCGTTCAATTAATAAAGAGAAAATAAAATGTTATGATAGTATCTAATTATTTAAAATGACATAAATTATAAGCGTAAATAAAACCATGATAAACCATGTATGTTTTTTAGATAAGATCTAACTCAATTTTTTAAAATCAATTCTACTCAAAGAATAGACCCAATTTTCACGATCACGCCACTATATATTTAATGCCACACAATATATTAGTCGGACATTAGTCCTATAATAAAGTTGTGGAGTGTTTAATGCTATGTGCATTTTATGAAGAGAACGAAGAAAAACATTTTTATAATCATTGGATAACAATATGTTTTAGCAATAATAATAGAAACTATTATTTTTTACATGATCCGCCATTTTTTTTTCTTCTGGCCGCCTAGGTATATTATGTGTGACCTTAATCAAGCTTTCCTTATCAATATTATACTAATTAAGAAATGATTCGTCTCTCTAGACTCTCTCATGACAAATTAAATTCTATCCAACCATGCTCAAAGAACAAAGTGATCTTCTTTTTAAATACAATTTTGAATGAGGAATTATATTTGCATGGCAATTGGCAACATATTGAAGATTATCATGTGTATATGCACCAATACTCACAAGTCACAAGTGATACACCTAGAATGTCCATAATCCCGTTATATATTTTCGTGGTGATTAAGGGCAACATTAATTCTTAATGGCAATGAGACTACGTCGTACGTACGTTAGTATTTGTAGTTAATTTAGTAGAATATACTTTTAAAAAAAAATAATAATAAGGCCCATATTCATCCAGCAATGACATGTCATTCTCAACAAATTAATAAAAAATAGTAGACAGAAAAAAAAAAAAAGAAAGAGAAAAACTAAAAAGGCAACTAAACACATGTGAACAATACATGTGAACGCACACTGACATGTTACGTATTTGGGAAGCAACGCTCAAAAACACTTCTTATGAATTTGTGATAAATAGGTTTTCCCGACGTTTCCTCTGGTTCATTTTCTCTCAACACCAAACCATATTTTAAATAGTAATAATAATAAAGACAATATTTTCGTCGAACAAAACAAATATTATAATCTACGCAGTTTGTTTTAAGAACTCAAGAACAAAGATAATTTTATCATGCATTTTTAGTGTTCTAATTAGTTTTAACTAATCATATTATATTACGTCGTGTAAAAAATTTGAGTTGTTTTTTAAATTTTAATTAAGTTTTTTGTGTTTATCACAAGATGATATAGCATAATATAATTAGTTAGACACCTATTTTAAACACCAAGAGGAATTGAACAAAAAATTTAGACTCATATACTAATATATATATATATGTATATATATGTATGTATATATATATATATATATATACACCGATCAAGTTAAACTTGCAACCGCGCGCCACTTTTTTTTTCATTTAGACAAACTAAAAAAAAACATCCTTTAATTTTTTTTTTTTTTTTTTTATAATTTGCAGATATCCATTACAACACCCTCCTATTAATACCCTTTAAAAGCGCGTTCCTTTCCATTGTCCTCTCTTTAAATATTTATACAAATTTGTCTCATTGTTTTCCACTAAGAACCGCCAGAAAAAAAAAAAAGAAAAAGAAAAAAACACCACCACTATATACCTTGAGCGAGACTTCCTGTAAGCCCCACACTTTTGGTCATTTCCACCTAACTCTCTCTCTCTCTCTCTCTCTCTCAAATAGAATAAAATAAAATAAAAAATAAAAATCAATTTTTTTTCCTTTGGAAATAAAACATTTATAGTTATATATATACACACATATATCACCCAGAGAGAGAGCTATTGTGTCTCTTATTACATGAATTTCTGTCACTTACGAGGAAAAAAATGGAGGCGACACCTAATATAGTTTCTCTCTCTCCGAGCTTCAACAACTACTCATCCTCCACCGGAAATCTCACCGACATCGCCGCCCGCGTCGTCAGCGAGCTCCGCCGGGAGAATAGCGGCTCCGACGCCGCTTTCTTCCTCGACGAAGAAGAAGACGACCATATCTGGTTCCATGCGGAGCTAGATCAGAGACGTCCACATCGTGATCATCATGACCATCACGATCATCGCGATGGTCGTGATGACGGTGATGAAGAGGATGATGGAGATGATGAGTTTGAATTTGCTTTCGTATGCAGAGAATCCGCGTCGTCACCGATCTCCGCCGATGAGATCTTCTACAATGGCCAGATCAGGCCGGTTTATTATCCTCTCTTGGGCAAGAGCTTGCAGCTTCTAGAAGAACACGGCCTTAAGAGCTCTCGAAACGACGTCGTCGCCGTCGCCGCCGCCCGGGCGAACAAGGAAAATGACAAGAACACCCCTCCGGCGCCACCGCGCCGCCGGCAACCGCTGAGGAAGCTGATGGTGGAGGAAGAGAGGGAAACGACGACGTCCTGCTCGTCGTCAGAGACCGACGAGCTCGACGGCCTACAGCACGGGACTTTCTGCGTGTGGACGCCGAGGAACGGCGACAGCGGTGCCGCCACCGGAGGAGGGAAGAAGAGCAAGTCGACGGGATCGTCGAAGCGGTGGAAGTTTGGGGACCTTATAAGTCGGGGCAACAGCGACGGGAAGGACCGTACTATTTTGGTTATAGCTCCGAGCAAGAAAGCCTCGAAGGAGGGTAAGGCCACCGGAAATGGAACGGCGACGAAGACCGAAGTGAAAAACGAGGTCGTTTTCGCGGCAGGGAAAGTGGGAAAGGCAGAAGAGCACAAGAGGAAGACGTACAAGCAGGATTTTGTGGGGTTTTTGGCAAATGTCCATGGGTTGAGCAGGAATTTGCATCCATTTTGAGATTAGGGTTTTAATTCCATAAAAAGATAAACGTAATTACTTTGTATAATCTAGATATGTTAGCGTTAAAGAAAAAAAGAAAGAAAAATAGTTAGGTTGCTTAGTGAATTCTAAGGTTAAAAGGGTAATGAATGTTTTTTTTTTTTAAATTAATCTGAATTTTATCAATGTTTGCGTGATGTAATTATTCAGAATTTTGTATTATCAGCGAGTGTTTTCACTACAGATAAAGTGATGACTAGGGACCATAGTTTGTACATTCGAGCTATAAAATATTAGAAAAGGAAAAAAAAAAAAAAGGAACTTTGGATGGAGGTTTTAATTAATTTTCTTCATTTATTAATGTAAATAGATGTGCAATTTTGTATTCGAATTTGAATTTTCATATACGTTTAGCTTTTTGTTTCATTTATTTTAGAACTTGAAACGTAATTGCAAATGTTATAATTTGGAAGAGGGATATATCCATCTATGTATATAGGGTGCTGATTCTATCAGCCGGCTGGATGGTTCAGCCATTTAATATTAACCCTCCATTCTAAGATTAATGGTCCAAGATTTGCAAGGGACATTCAGTTTTTCATCCACTTGATAAGCAGGTAACCGGTTAATGATAACAGCTCTAAACGGCAATGATTTTTGTAGTTTATTATTTTGTTTCCTTTTCTTTTTTATTTGCTTTGTTGCTTCAGATGTCTTAGTCATTTAGAAAGAAAAAGAAGGGACCCAAAATCTGACTCAGAGCTTGGGGAAAAAAAAAAAGGGAGAATCTCTACTCTGAATAAGAACCCAGAAACGAAGACATCAATATGAACACTCTTAACCCCACATGAACAATCGCAATTGTTTCGATTCGCACCTCCCTCCATCGATCTGTCGGAAGAAAGATTGGTTGGCCGTACGTGAAGGGGATCTGCAAGGCTATATATATGAAGGTATATATAGCGCATCAAATCAGATTGCAAAATTTATAGAAAGTCGAATGATCACCTATAGTGCAGCCGCTTGCCGTTTGAGATCGATGGTTATCCATGCCGTCATATTTTCTGTGTCATGATGAAGTATCTTAATACCAGCTTCATCCCCCAGTCATTGATATTGAAAAGATGGATAATAAATGCAAAATCAGTGATTGACCATCGCAATGGATCCTTATCCTCTGATTTCAACAAGTTATCGTACTACGCAACAAAAAGTTGTAGAGTTCGACACAGAGGCAAAGATGGAGCTTTTGAGGTTAACTTCTAAATTTCAGAGCCTTTTCTCATCAATGGAACGACATCAGTCTAACCAGAATGACGAAGGTCGCGAACAAATGCTTTGAATGATCAAACTCCAATAATAAAGGACCCAGTTGTCGTGAGAAATAAATGCACTGCTAACCGCCCACAACCAAGGGAGCACAATGACAGGGAATACAACTTGAAAATTGTCGGAAGAAGATGCGGTCAGTGCAAAGGTTACGACCACAATAGGCAAACATGCCCTCAAAGAACCTGTGAGAGTAACAGTGTAGATATTAGCTCAACCCCAACAATCTAAGGCTCTGTTTATTTCACCGATTTGAGTTTAGAATTCGAGTTTTATTATCTTAGAAATAGTTACATTTAATTTTTTTTTTACTACAGTAAAAAACTCTCACGTAAAGTCATATCTCAACTCAAATTAAAAATTTAAATCAACGAATTAAACGGGTCCTAAAATTCTCAGACCACCCCTGAGACAAGCGAACAAGAACCAAGAACGACAACTCAATACACCTACAGTGATGGTGAAGGATTCTACCGTTCAAATATAGACTCCGGGGGAAACAACTAGTATGAAGCACTCCACCGTACAAATACTTCTACTCTCCTTGTGCTATGCCGTGTTCGCCACAACAACAACAACAAAAAAAAAAAAAAAAGCGAAAATATTACATTTCATAATTTTATCATTTCATTAAATTTCTTCATAAATCATACTCGTTTCAAGTTATTCAAAATATAAGTTACGAAAATTACGTTCTAAATGAACCATTAAAGTACATAAATTTACGTCTCTTTCACTCATAAATTACGTTGTCGTTTAATCAAAAACCATCCGAAGTCTTTACATTATTTCATGAAGTAAATTAACTTGTGACATTACCGAGAAGACCCACACAACAATACAAATTTACAAAATTGCCAAGTTAAAAAGCCACACCAACTTGCTGCAACCAGTGGGCACACATAAAAAATTTATTAAAACTTGTTTAACAATTACTTAAACCAATCATTTACCCACGTTAGCATCTTTTTATATTCCTAATAACATTCTTGGGAAATCGTGTGGGTTTCCCACGGTAATAAGCTGGCTTTTTTTTTTTTTTTTTTTTTTTTTTTATAGTAATTAAGCCTTGGCTAATATGTACTTGGTAAAAGGATGTTATCCATTTTCTAGGCAACATTTGGATAGAGTGTCTATTTTCATTAGTACTTTTACAAAGAAGATTCCTTATTCGTCATTATGCAAGGAAAATTATATACGCGATAAAGATATGACTGCAAATATAATAAGACGATATTATAGAAAATTCATGGCACCTATCGCTAGCTAGGGGACCGAATCAGAATTGACATGTAGTTTGGTTTTTGGATAAATATAAAAAAGAAAAGCATGAATGACATGCTTATATAATTAATTAACTAGCTTAATATGTACATCAAGTAATCTTGAATATTCTAGAAAAAGTATTCGTGGAAAAGATATGTATAGCCTACTATATATATAAGAAAGCAATATATCATGTACATGTACGCGTACTTAAGCACACAGGTACGTACGTTAGTATATTATATATATATATATATATATTAATGGCATGCAATATATAATATGCAAATAGTTATTCAAATTAAAGAAGCTTTATTTCTTTAATAATATGCAAGTATTTGAGACTAAGAACTTAACCAGCTTTTTGAAAGTTTGGGAATTCAATTTATGCAAGTTTCGGCGGAATGGTTTAGGGACGGTGATGATATCTAATACATTAATTGTCTAGTTAGTAAGAGATTAAGTGGGAAAAGAGAAACCGGATTGTGAATAATTCAAAGTAAAATTTTCTTGTTATTTCTATACACTACAACAATAAAGGTCATTTGTGACGATATTATTTGCGATGACATTTGTCGTCGCAAATATTTCATTATTTGTGATGACATGTCGTCGCAATTAATCCCCGTTAAATAAATTAAGTATGTCGTCGCTAATAAGTTTAATGTCGTCGTAAATAGTTTATATAATCAATTATAAGTTGTGAAATCAATATACATTTTATGGGGTAAAGCCAAAAAGTCTAGCAAATCATATCTATTAATTAGGTTGCATTGTTGCCTTAATACATGACAAAATAACCCCAATAAGTTTTCAAAAATATGTGCAATTCATCAAGTTTGAATATTATTTTTCCAATTCAATTTGAATAGTATATTTGCCTTCGTCTCAACAAACACATGTTTCTACAAAGAAAAATAGTAACATAATTAAAATGATTACTTTATACCCTTTTGAACTAACACCACTTTTTAAAGGCAAGAAAACGAAAGAAGATTAATTGTTGGATCGCCAGATGTTTTTAGTCACACAAGTCTTTTTTTTTCTTTTTTTGTTAAAAAAGGTTCTGTTTAAATATCCGGGTGAGATAATCCATTTTCCACTAGAAAATCATGATTCATATATTGTTCAATTACTCACCGACATTTTAGTGGCGCAGAATCCATCCATCCAAAAATGTAGTTTTCAATTTTTTTTTTTTTTTTTTGAGAAAAATGTACTTTTCAAGTTCTTGTTATTTAGTAGCTTAAAAACGACAGAAATGCTACATTTTTTTTTGGTGAGGATAGAAATGCTACATCTATAGAGAAAGTAATGGGGAACCTTGTACACGTAAAAATATGCATTAATGAACCGTTTTAAAGAAAATGAGTTCTTAAAAGCATTATTCTTCGTCCTTCAAAAAAAATAAATAAATAAAGGATTATTCTTCGTCTTCCATTTTTTCATGGAAAGTGCATATGTATATATAATTGCCGTTTTAACCTATAAAAGAAGCAAAATATCAACTTGTCTCTCTCCGATGGTTAAATTTTTTGGCTCCATAACTATGGTAACCAGTAAAGCCAAGATCTGGATTCTACAAACTCTTTGGTCAATTTGGGACCCTACAAGCTAATATATATATATATATATATATATTTATTTATTTATTTTAAAAAATAAAACAGTAAGTAAAAAGGTGAGGAGTGGGTGAATGATAGTTAATGATAGAATAATGAATACCTTACTCATCATAAAAGAAAAGTAATAATATCCTATAAGTAAGATTTTGTTTTAAATCGTCACATATGTATAAGTTGAGATCAATTTTATATATGACATTTTGATCAGATTTAATGTTTGGAAATATGCCCTACGGCCAATGACGGAGAGATGAGTGACTTTTTTTTTTAAATATAGTAATTTTAATTTTAATATAGTAGATATGTATATAAATTATATTTGGTCTCTTTCAAATTAATAGTTATCTACATTTTATTGGGTCATGAATTAATTTAATAAATAAATACTGTTACATAAATATACATGTTAGTATAATATTGATAAAAAAAAAATTTTAACCCCTACTAATAAAACCTGGCTCTATCAAAAAAAGCTACTTAATGATAAACCCTTTTTATGTAGAAAATTTTGTGTTCTCCGTGATTGGTGTTGTTAGGTCATGGTCTCAGCTATTCTGTCACTAATCAGTTTGTGTTGGGTTTTTTTTTTTTTTTTTTTTTTTTTTCGCAACCCCATTGTATTAAAAGAATTAGGGAAATGTGTAATAAATCAAAGAAGATTCTTTGTGTCTTTACCCTTCGGAAGTCGGAACTAAAGAAGTGGGAAAGTGACGAAAACCATGGCATGTTGTCATAGAATAATTAGTTAAAGCATTTTTAATCTTTTACAGATCATTTTCTGACAGCTGGGGAAAATGGGAATTTTGAGAAAAAGACGTGAGTTTGTTTTTACTGCAAAAAGTAGAGAACTATATTCCTTCTCGTAGTCATAACAAACTAATAGAAAAAAAATTATTAATAATTAAGTCTCGTTCATTTTATCGATTTAAATTTTTAGTTTTAAGTTTTTACAGTAAAATTTTTTTAAAAAATATCACATATAATTTTTTTTACTACAGTAAAATATTTTAAAAAAATATCACATTTCAATTCGAATTGAAAATTCAAATCCGCGAAGTGAACGAGACCTTAGTGTACAACCTCACAATTTGTGAGTCACAAACATAATAATAGCGTTATGTGCC